GATGAACCTATAGTGGGATTAGCATCCTCCTCCATTCCCAGTGAAGCACTGGAGACATTAAAGCCGGAGGAAAAACGAGCCGAGCTAGACCTACGCAGAGCTCATCAGTCTGACACATGGGCCATCAGAGCAGCCACGGACGCCTCCTTCTTTACCCATTCTTCTCTCAGATGGCTCCACCTCTTATGGGAACATGTCCCTAATTCCAACATTAGAGTGCACCAAGATATTGCTAAACTTATAGCGGCCGCTGAATTCTCAGCTGATGCAACTTATCATATGGTCAAGTTTTGAGCCAGGGCCATTATTTCACATGTCACTGCGCGACGCTTACTATGGTTAAAAGCGGATAAAAGTGGACAAAGTGGCAAGTGGACTTTAAGCACAAATGCAAGCTGGCTTCATCTTCTGTTGTGGGAGACAGACGGTTTGGCCCTTCCCTTGATCTGCTTCTAATTAAAACCCAAAACAAAAAGAAAATTCTACCTTCCCTTTTTCGGAAGTCAGATTCTAGAAACCCTCAGTCCTTTCAGAGGGGATCCTTTCGGCCCTTTTACCAGGGACCCTTTTCACCCAGATACCAGAGACCCCCATCATTCAGACCAGGGCAGCAGCCAGACAGGTCCGACTTCGGGGATATGAGCAGAAGGGGTGGTCAATCCAAGAGATCCTTTCGAGGAGCAGGAAACAGGTCTTTCTGACATCCAAGATAACTCCCTGGATCTGACTCCCATTGGCGGACTCCTTAAATTATTCATGGACCAATGGGATTCCTCAACGTCTGATTCCTGGGTCAGAGACATGATCAGATTTGGCCTTGCGCTGGAGTTTCAGTCCACTCCCCCAGATTTTTTCATGTCATGCCTTCTCTCCACAGATCCGGTTAAACGTAATCTCATGGAAACAGCTATCCAACATCTACTGGACATACAAGCCATCCAACCAATAGCTACCAACCAATGAAGACGGGGTTTTTATTCATATCTTTTTGTTGTTCCCAAAAGTTGGGAGGGGGTGGAGAGCAATATTAGATCTGAAACATCTCAACCGTTTCTTAGTATATCACAAGTTTAAAATGCACACCCTGCAATCTATCTTACTTGGCATCAGAAAAGGTGACGTCCTTACGTCTATAGATCTGACGGAGGCGTACCTACATATTGCTATTCGGCCTTCCCACTATAAATTTCTGAGATTCTGGATGTTATAATAACCACTATTTCAAATATGTGGCCCTTCCTTTCGGACTAGCTTCTGCCCCTAGGACCTTCACAAAGGTTCTTGCAGCTCTAGCTGCTCATCTCCATGATATCCCTATACGACTCCAGTGTTACCTTGATGACATCTTAATTTTGTCATCTTCCAATCATTAAGTAGTCAGAGATACTCAGAACACATTACAATCCCTACAACACAGGTTCTCAATAAATTGGAAAAAGAGTCATTTAAGACCATCGACTTGGTTAATCCACCTGGGGGCAGTCATAGATACGGTGGAAGGCAAAGTTTACCTGTCACCAGATAGACTAAATAGCATTCAGCAATTAGTCAAGGAGATCAGGGGTCTTAAGAGGGTGTCCCTAGCTGAAATATCAAAATTGTTAGGCAAGATGATCTCATGTATATCTATCATCCCTTGGGCCCAGCTTCACACTAGATCACTCCAGTGGTTCCTGCTCTTGTACCAGCACTCCAGCCGAAGCAACTCCAAATTCAAGGTCAAGGTATCATGAAAGGTCCTCATATCTCTCTTCTGGTGGACCAGAGCAGTCATCAACAGAGGCTGCCTCTTCGAAGAGCCACACAGACTTACCATCACCACTGATGCCAGCCTGTTTGGATTGGGAGCTCACATTCAATCGCTCACAACCCAAGGCCGCTCGTCCGCCATAGAACAGTCATGCAGCATAAACTGGCTGGAGCTTCGAGCAGTACACCTGGCTCTCTATAGCTTCCTTCCACAGGTACGCAATCAACACATACTAATATTGACCAAAAACGTAACAGCCAAAGCTCACATAAAGAAACAGGGGGGCAGTCGAAATACCTCATGCAGGAAGTGGAGCACTTGTGTCGTTGGGTGGAGAGCAACCTACTTTCCATCAGAACAGAAGACATTTCAGTCCTGTCAAATACACAGGCAAACTGGCTAAGCAGGACTACGATTGATCAATCGGAGTGGTGCCTCCATCTGACCCTGTTTCAAGAGGTGGTCAGGAGATTTGGGCAGCCGGTGATAGACTTGTTCACTTCCCCCCTCAACTCTCAGCTGCCCAGATTCATTTCCAGGTACCCCTCACAAGGAGCGGAGAACTTCAATGCGCTCCGCTGCCGTTGGCCCCAAGGTCTTCTGTACGCATTCCTGCCACTTCCTCTGATCCCCAAGGTCATCCAGAAGCTGCTGGACAAGAGGGTGGAGCTGCTGCTAATAGCTCCTTACTGGCCCAGACGGACGTGGTTTGCGGATCTCCGCAATCTATCCTTATCAACACCATGGAGAATTCTGCCAGATAGGGTTTTGCTAACCCAGGGAGCCCTTCAACATCTGGACCCTCAATGGTTTCACCTGACCATCTGGAGATTGAGCAGAGATGTCTGAAGAGCAAAAAGTTTTCCAACAGAGTCATCGCCACCATCCAAGCTGCCAGACACCCCTCAACAACCCACATTTACAATGCCACGTGGTCCAGTTTCTGCAAATGGTGTACTAAGTCTCAAACTGATCCCATCTATCCACCAGTGGCTCAAATCCTAGAGTTTCTACAAGAGGGGCTTGACAAGGATTATCACCTAATACATTGAAAAGGCAGGTGGCGGCTTTCTCATCACCCACGCATATGGAGTTTCCTTCAAGGAGCCACAAATTTACACCCGCCAGCGGTTCATTATCCCACTTGGGACCTTAACAAGGTCCTCGTTGCACTCACTAAGTACCCTTTCGAACCCTTAAAATTGTCAAATCTCCAATTTCTGACATATAAAGTAGTTTTGCTTGTAGCAATCACTTCCACTCATAGTATTTCAGAACTGGCAGCTTTGTCAATCAGAAAAGACCTTTGTGTCTTCCATTCTGACTGCATGGTCCTTCATCCTGATCCTATGTTTATACCCAAAATTAATTTGGCGTTTCACAGGGCACAAGAGCTGATACTTCCTAACTTTTGTCCCAGGCCATCTCAAAGGTTGGAACTACAATGCATTGGCTTGATGTGAGGAGAGCATTGTGAATATATATTCATCACACAGCGACTTTCAGGAAAACAGAAGCTTTATTTGTGTTGTTTCAGCCAAACACTCAGGGATGCAAGGTTTCTTCTTCCACAATAGGCCGTTGGCTACGGGCTGTGATAGCAAAAATGTATTACTCAATCATTACAGGTGCCCAGGGGCATAACACCTCATTCAACAAGGAGCGCAGCAACATCAGCAGCATGGGCCATGCAGGCACCAAAAACTGATATTTGTCAAGCCGCAACCTGGGCCTCTCCATTGCCCTTCATTAGGCATTATAAAATAGATGTGTTTGCATCCACTGAGGCCTCCTTTGGCAGAAGAGTTCTGCAATGAGTCCACGGGGACCAGGAGGGAATTCCAAGCCAGACGGAGTCCCTCCCATATGACAGGCCAAGCTTTGGTATGTCCCACTACTGGATGCTCTGAACAGCTCATAGGAGAAAGGGCGTTGGTACTTACCTGATATGCCCATTCTCTTTGAGCTGTGAAGAGCATCCAGCCCCATCCCTTTTTTCCATCTGGTGGGGTCCCATTTCCGCCAACGAATTGTTAAGGCGTTGAGGGCAAGTGGTGTTTATTCTCTCATCTCTGCCAAAACTGGGGAACGCTGGGGAGGAGTCCTGTGGAGGAGGAGGAGCATTCCAGAAATTAAGCCCAGCCTAGATGTGCAGAGACTGAAGCACCTCCCACTACTGGATGCTCTTCACAGCTCAAAGAGAATGGGCGTATCAAGTAAGTACTAACACTCTTTCTGCTTTGGTCAGATCTCATCATGAATATTGTACCCCATTCTACACATCTCTACAAATATGTCACTATATCTCAAGCAGTTCAGAAAAGGACAAAGATAGTGATCAGCAGATTGAAAATTATAGGCAAAGATCAGGAAAATTTTAGCCTGGGGAAAAATAAAGGATGATTGAAAAATGATATGGACTGTTTACCTAAAAAGATACATGAAAGGAAGGCATAGAACTTGTGTTCTATCATCATAGATTATATTACTTTGTAAAAGTTACTTTAGAAAGAAATTTAAGTTATAGAAAGACAAGTTCCAGGAGAATTTTAGGAGTATTAGTATAATGGTAAGAGCAATTCAATAATGAAATAATTTGTATGGGAAGTGATGAATTGTTTTTATTAGTTGTATTGCAACAGGAATTCCGATACAGTTTTTAGGGATGCTTTAATCTGTATTCCTGCATTGAGCAGTAGATTGAATATAGTGTCTGAAATAGTTCTTTCCCACTCTATGATTCTTTAATTCTGTGAATGATTTGACAAATATGTTGGCTCACATATCTCCTGGAAACATGCCTGTTGGAGACCTGTTGAAACAAATTGCTAATTTACCATATGGCAAAGTTAACTAAGAGTAACTTAAGCCAAAATTGTTAAATCAATCATTCTTGTATTTTATTTTTTAAAATAATGAACTATGGATTTATTGTGGAATTGGGAAACACACACACACATATACTATAAGTTTAAAAAGTGTATATGTCTTATTTTTCAACCATCATTGTGACATTACATTGTACTGTTTTTTCATGTGAGATGCTACATTTAAAAACTGTCCTTGATTTATTTTCTCTGCATTCTTATATTTTCTTGCATTAGGACTAGCAAATCTCTGCCTATGCAGATTGATGGGGAGCCATGGATGCAAACACCTTGTATAGTAAGTTTGTCTTAATCAGTATATGTAATAAACTGATCAAAGTAATAAAATTAATGTTTTTTCTATGATCCTAAAATCTTGCACATTTCAGTAAGAATTATTTATGCAGCATAGTATACAATTACATTCATTGCCTCCTTTTGTATGATTCAACATAAAATTTTTCAATTGCACTTTGATAAAAGAATGCTCAATAAATATTTCTGGCCATTCAACCTTTCTAACTGACTTAGGCAAACAATTCAGGGTTCTGAAGACTATGTCAGGCTTTGATTAAATAATCAAGGAAATGTAATCATGATGCAAAGATGATGGGAGATATTTCTATTCTAATTACTTTCCACAGAAGAAATAGGAAATCAGATTAAATCCATTACAGCCAATTCACATATTACACCCAAGTTTGTCACCAAGTGTTCACACAAAAGGGAATTAAATGCAATCACAGATGGTTTCATTTTTGTGTTGATAATTTCAAATTGATGTTCCACCTTTATTTTAAAAAGAACACTCAAGAAAGAACAAGATGGTTAAAATAACAAAATGTCAAACAGTTTTTTTTTAAGATGATAATTGGAAATACCTTAAGGCAAAAGGACACTAAATAGTAAAATTTCAGACAAGCAAGTTAGTGAATTTAGCATAAAAACATCATCAACCAGGCAAAGGAAAACTCTCCTAATGAAAGAATGACTTTCTGAACAGGAAGATCCACAGTCTTAGTGTGATCACTAAGACAGTCTTTTTCATATAATAGCCAATCACATCTCCTAATTATGAAATGTGAAGAAGAACCTAAATAAATAAATGAATGAACAACATTTACAGGACTAACCAAACAAATATCTGTGTCTGAAAGCATATTTTTTTAAGATCTTACTATAGGTTTTAAATGTACTTCCAATGCCATCTTTCAACTAATTAATATACAAGTCAGTTTAAAAGAATTCCCTAAGAAACTATGACTTATAGTTAAATAAAATTTTGAATAGAATATCAATAAACCCTACCAAAGAAAGATAAAGGCAGCAATAGATAATTCATTGTGCCCAATTGTGAGAGCATCAACAGCCTCAAAACAGCCAGTAACTCAAGTGCTGGTGCCCTGTCCCCTTAAGACCTGCTTCTAGCCAGCCCAGCAACTGATAGCTATAAAAGCTGAACAGAAAAGCAGTTGTAGATGGTGTTGGTGTTTTGTGTTCATTTGGAAAACTAAAACTGCCTGAATCAGCCTAAGGCAAATAGAAAAGTTGCTGTTCTCCATAAGTAGGGGTCATGAAGAGAAGTAGTGGAGAAAAAGAATTGTAGTAGAATTGAAGAACAGGGATAAATAGTCAGTACTAGCCTTTGAGCATTATTTGTTGCCTAGAGGTCAAATGGAGTTGTGTGTTGGTACTTTGGCATTTTGAAGCCCACTAACTATAGTTGTCAAACTACAGGTTGTGGCCATTTATCCAAGGACTTTAAAAGCTAGAGTTAAAAAAAGAAATAGCTGCAGTACTGTAAACATCTCTGGAAGAAAAATGATTCCCAACAGATGATAATGGAATCACTGTGAGAGATTTATGAATGAATGAATGAATTCTTTATTGGCCAAGTGTGATTAGACACACAAGGAATTTGTCTTGGTACATATGATCTCAGTCTACATAAAAATAATTAAGGTACAACACTTAATGATAGTGATAGGGTACAAATAAGTAATCAAGTCATACTAGGAAACAATGAATATAAATTGTAAGTATACAAGCATAACATAACTGTAAAAGACAGACCAAAATAAAAGTTAAAATAAGCGGGGGGAAAAATAGTAAGAAAACGCCTGTCTGATTTTGATGAACACAAATCACCAGGGCCCAATGGATTACATCCCAGAGTTTTAAAGGAGCTGGCAGAGGTCATCTCAGAACCAATGCACTATATTTTTCAGAAATCCTGGAGCACCAGGGAACTACCAGAGGACTGGAAAAGAGCTGATGTAGTTCCCATCTTCAAAAAAGGAAAAAAAACAGATCCAGGAAACTATAGACTAATCAGCCTAACATCAATACCCAAGAAGATACTGGAAAAGATAATAAAAAAACAGATCTGCCAACATCTAGAAACAAGTAAAGTAATAACTAGCAGTCAGCACGGGTTTGTTAAAAACAGATCATGCCAAACCAATCCTATTTCATTCTTCAACATAGTGACTAAACTAGTAGATCAACAAAATACTGTGGACATAATATATTTGGATTTCAGCAAGGCTTTCGACAAAGTAGACCACAACCTACTTCTTAGTAAGCTAGAAAAAGTGGAATAGATAGCATCACCACTAGGTGGAGAAACCATACTCAATGAGAGTCCTTAATGGGTCTAAGTCTTCATGGAGGGAAATAAGCAGTAGGGTGCCACAAGGTTCCATCTTAGGCCCAGTACTCTTCAATATCTTCATTAATGGCTGTGATGAGGGAATAGAAGGGGAACTTACCAAATTTGCAGATGATACTAAGCTGGCAGGAATAGCTAATACCCAAGAAGACAGGCTCAAGATCCAGATGGAACTTGATAGACTAAACACTGGGCCATATCTAACAAAATGAAATTTAATGTAGAGAAAAGTAAAGTCCTATACTTAGGCAAGAAAAAACCAAAAGTATACATATAGACTCGGTGAAACTAGGCTCAATAGCAGTAACTGTGAGAGGGATCTTGGAATCTTAGTGGACAACCAGCTAAATATGAGCCAGCAGTTTGCAGCAGCAGCCAAAAAAGCTAATGCAATCCTAAGCTGCATTAACAGAGGTCTACAATGAAGATAAAGTGAGGTACTAATACCATTCTATAAAGCCTTAGTAAGACCACACCTAGAGTGCTGCATCCAGTTTTGTTCACCACATTATAAAAAAAGATGTTGAGAGTCTAGAAAAAGTACAAAGAGCACCAGGATGATTAGGGGAGTGGAGACTAAAACATACAATGAACGGTTACAGGAACTGGGTTTGGCTCGTCTAGTAAAGAGAAGGACCAGGGGAGGCATGATAGCAGTCTTTCAATATTTGAGGGGCTGCCACAGAGAGGAAGGGGTCAAGCTATTTTCTAAAGCGCCTGTGGGCCAGACAAGGAATAATAGATAGAAACTCAACAAGGAGAGAGTCAACCTGGAAATAAGGAGAAATTTTCTGACAGTGAGAACAACTAACCCATGGAACAGAAGTTGCCTTCAGAAGTTGTGGGAGCTTCATCACTGGAAGCTTTCAAGAAGAGACTGGACTGCCATCTGTCAGAAATGGGGTAGAGTCTCCTTGCTTGGGCAGGGGATTGGACTTGATGACCTACAAGGTACCTTCCAACTCTGATTATCTGTTATCTGTTAAGCAACAAAGTTAGTCATGCAGTCACAAGTGGGAGGGGATGGGTGATAAAGAATGATGAGACGATTGATAGTAATAGTAATGCAATTTAGTAGATACTGGAAGATACTTGAAGTAGACATATGTCCTGATTAGTTAAAAAAAAAAAGGCAGCATCTGTGTGGAAAAAGCCTCTTATAAGTGTTTGGGTAGAGTGACATGTTAGACAGGTAAAGTGGTAACAGTAATCCCAAACTTGCAATATAATGTATCTTTTTCATGATTTTTTCTTCATGCTCTCACTCTGCTGAACACCTAATTCTCACAGTACTCTCATGTCTATTTATCCGTGTAATGTGGCTGTAATATTATCCTACTCATTTTCTCTACTACTTATTGGTATTATGATGATGATTATTGTGTTGCATGTGCACTGAGAGCTCCTGCACCAGCTACAAATTCCTTGTGTGTTTAATAACACTTAGCCAAATAAAGTATTTCTGTTCTGTTCCATTCTATTCCTTATCTTTTCTTAACTATTTTCTAATTTTTCCTTTTTTATTTTTTCTCATCTCTTTTATCTTTTTTCTCATCTTTCCTATTGTTTTTCTAATATTTTTCCTATTTTCTTATTTCATTATCCTTTTTCTTATTTTTTAACTTTTATCTCATTCTTATCTTTTATTTTATTTTTATATTCTTACTTATCTGTTCTTATTTTTTCTTATCTTTTTAATCTTATCATTTTTGTCTTTTCATACTTTTTCTTATCTTTTCCTATTTTTCCTTATCATATCATCTTTCTTTTCTTATTTTTTCCTATTTTTATCTTTTTTTTACCTTATTTTGTTTTAACTTTTTTCTTCTTTTCTCATCATTTTTTCTAATCTTTTTTATCTTTTATTCTTTTTATCTTTTTTCTTATCTTTTCCTGTGTCTGATCTCATCATTTTTCTTATCTTTTCTTATTTGTTTCCTTATCCTTTCCCTATCTTTTTCTATTTCTGATCATTTGTTTTTTCCTTTTCCTTTGCTTTATCCTTTTCCTTATCTTGCCTTATCTTTTTTCTTTTTATTAATTTTTTTATCTTTTTACTATTATCTTTTTTATCTATATAATATGGTGCTACTTTCTTTCTTTCTTTCTTTCTTTATTTATTTATTTCTTTATTTATTTTTATTTAGTCAAGCAATTATAAGATAACAGATATAAGTATAAACATAGCTATGAATACATGAAATGGATACATATAAGAAAAAAGAAGAGAAACAATAGGACAGGGATGGTAGGCACGTTGGTGTGCTTATGCACACCCCCTACAAACCTCTTAGGAAAGGGGTGAGATCAATAGTAGACAGTCTAAGGTTAAAGTTTTTGGGGTTTGGGGAAGAAATCACAGAGTCAGGTGCAGTATCCCAGTCATTGACCACTCTGTTGCTAAAGTTGTATTTCCTGCAATCAAGTTTGCTGCGGTTTACCTTGAGTTTGTATCTATTGGGTACTCTTGTACTGTTATGGTTGAAGCTGAAGTATTCATTGACAGGTAGGACATTGCAATATATAATTTTATGTACTATACTTAGATCGGACCAAAGGCAGCATAGTTCTAGGTTTTCTAGATCTAGAATTTCAAGTCTGGTGGCATTAGTTATTCTGCAACAAGT